GGGGGGGGGCTGTGATTGGCTGTTACTTACGCAAGATTTGAACCGGGACTTACATAGGCGTCGGATCAGATGTATGTAGGGCGGAATTAAAAAAAAAATCACAAAATCAAAATCAAAGTAAAATAATAAAATAGAAAGGCATTAATAACAAAAGTAATAAAAAATAAAATTAAAATAAGTTTATAGCCAAAATAATTGAAGCCCGTACACTACATCAGATTTTAATCAGATTGCCATGCCAGCTGACTGTGAGTATCGTAGTACTGTAAACTTGACACGTTTTTGTGACCAGTTATCTTTATGATTGGTTGTGGTGGAATGCCGGCTTTCGTCAGGGTAATGAGTCCAACTGGTCTTTTGGTATAATTCCCATCCACAGAATAATATCGTTAGCCACTTGAAGCGACTCAAATTACGTGCGTTGCTTGTAAACAGAAAGTAATTCGAAGAAATAGACTCGTTTACCAAATATGGTAAACAGGGCCCAGGCGTGATATGGAAAATTATTGCATGGCTCGCGCATCAGGATTCCCATAGCGTTACGAGGCCAAGCAATACGAGGTACATGATAATATTATTTAACTATGACTTTTATTTAATTCTTTTTATTTTATTGGTTTGGCTTCTGAAATTCCTGTCAGTGATTTATGAAATGGCCAGACAAATGTTTCATACAAAAATGTTTGGGTTAATAGGCACCTACACACATATTTCCCTGTATTTAGCAAGAAAAAATATTTGAAATGGCACAAGAAAATCAAGCCTTGGGTGGAGTGAGTTGCCAACAGGACAATGGTTTTAATACATATCTCCTGTTTTTTTATTGAGATGATTTGAAACTTGCCAGCAGAATATAGTTATTAGGAGAATCATTGTAATTTTGTGTTTTGTGACATTTTTTCACCATCTATACTCTATTGTGTTAGCTTGGCCGTACTTCATGGTTAAGGTTGAAGCCTAGTCATAGTTTTTGACAAAATTGGTCATAAATCGTATGACAATGTTCATTAGTTTATTATGTACAATCATGAAACTAATGTCTCATGGTACAATGAAATAGCATTATTTTGTGTGTTACAGTTAGGCTTTTTGTGAAACGTGATATTTCTTGAAAATTGCTATTTTTAGAACAATTCCATAGAACACATAGAATGTTAAAGAAAAATTACATTATTTGACACTTTTTAAAATAATTCAGAACAACAAAAAGTACTCCATCATTAACAATATATGATTTTTTCAGCCTATGTCACCAGGCTAGATTTTGAGATATTACATAATATCTCTGCCATAGGAACCTATGGTAAATGTGTTATAATAGTGTCAAAACGGCGACTTTTCACTGAATACAACCATCAATTTCTTGAAAAAAAGGCTGGTGACCCCCAACTTTTTATAGGTAAATATCTTTATATTGCCTTGGAGTACAATATATTGCAAAACGAATAAATTCTGGGTATTTTAATTTATGAGTAGGCTTGTACCTTAAGGTGTTGCCATACTCGTTGTTTTCTCATCCGCCATCTGTCCTTTCCTTAAAGTGCACACCACACTTTGTATATCTGCCCTCCATGTTTTCACATCTCTTACATACCTCATAAATGGGGTATAATCAGTCTATATATATGATTGGTGTATTCTAGTGTGCTTTTATTTTAATCAGGTCTTAATTGTCAACTTGGTTGGTATGTGCTGAAACATTCACTGATTATGTTGCCTGCATGCCTATGTTTGTCTGATCAATTGGTTAAGGAAACCTCATCACATCTCACTGCTGTTACGCTTGCTGTGATTGGTTGAGACTCGGTCACATGACATTGAATAAAAATGGATATTACATGGTATATTGTCTGCCAAGTGGATATTACATGGGTATATCACATGGATGACGTCACTGAAACTACTGCGCAACGATACTTCGCATAACAATTTGTCGTTCGCTGCAGTGGTGCTGCCCCGGTTGCTGTTTTTTTTCAGGGTTGCCTTCGGCTCTGGCATCATTAATGTTATGGTCATGACCACCAACCCTTGGGCAGGCAACAAATTGTGATATTGCCCTCACAAGCATGTGTTATTATTTAAATGTTTTTCCATACATACATGTAATTGTGGATTCACAGTTCCAGGGTTGTTTGTTCCTGGAGCTGAGAAACCATGTCAACCAGAATACGATAAAACTGTTAAACATGATCTCCAATGGGATCAATATTACTTGTTTGATGGAGACATCAAGTTTACAACATCACTATATTATGATTCCGAATGATACACGGTAGCATGTACAATATCAGTCTTTTCACCTGACATCACTCTATATATACCATAGACCCATTTATCTGTCTCTTACTGATTTGATTCTGTGGTGTGGTATATTATATTTGTCAGCTATTTAGTTCTTATAGATTGTTTTGTCAATTGTTAGTCAGCCATTTGTTTTGTGTTCTTGCACTTGTAAATTTCCCTATGCAATTTCTCTCTAAGGATCTACGGTTTGGTATGTTATTCCCACTAATATCCAAATCTGCTGCAACGGTCATTTTTAAAGGTATCATTTAGTCTTAAGACATATATTTACATTCAAGTATTAAATTTGACATGAATATAGTGATTACCAGTGAGCACGACAAATTGTTGTGATATAGGTTTACTATAAATATATACTTACAGCTAGAAATCTCTCAGAGCCTTCCTTTCCATCAGAACCTTTTCCTGATACAAGTATAATCTTGCTTCTGAGATCATTGAGATCTGTCAGTGTCCACTCTGTCTGGATATTGTCATCTGTATTACTTTCTTCGGATAGCCTAAGAATGACATGATCAGCATCTTTTAAATTAGATCCAATATTTCCGACTTCGTAAATCCCCCTTGAATTAACAGCGTTCATCTGTTCCACACACTTCACTTCAGATGGACCATGGACATCCTTTAGTCTCTTCAATACATGTAAATGTTCTTGGCTGAGCTTCTAATGAATTCAAAGAAAAATTAAAAAAAAAATGATAAATGCGCTGGAAAAACAAAATTTACTGTATTACTGGTACTACCTTTACTAAAATATGTTTGGATATTTAGAGTTGTAACAAATTCCCACTTCCCGTCTGATTAGACTTAAAATACACAACAAATATTCACTTTTGAGATACTGTAAAAGGGTTAATTATTCACTGGGTTTTAATTTTGCTTATTTCGCTGACTGGAAAATGCGCTAAATTAAAACCCAGTGAATATGTAAAATTTAGCATAGAACACATTATCTAAGTGATAAAACCGTGAATTTAAAACCCACTGAATATGCCTGAAATGGTAAATCAGTGAAA